AAGGGCATAGGCCGGGGTGGCCGTCGAGGATGCAGAGGGCGGGGGTGTGACCTTCGAGCCTGCAGATGGCGGTGGCGATTTCATCTTGGATTCAGATGGACCTTTCGCCTGCCCGGCGGCCGGGGTGGCGGAGCTGGTGCGAGACCCGATCGCTGTGACCGCCGGCGTGAAGGAGGTTTTCAGCGGAGTGACTGGCGGCGGACGCGACGTGGGGTTCGAGCCCGCGGCCCAGGCTGGTTTTGGCGTCGGTTGGTGGATGCGCGCCTTGGCTGCCTCCAGCCACTTGGTCCGGTCGGCGTCGTCCGCCTTGTCTGCGCTGGGCCGCCGCGGCGCGGGGGCGGGCGGTGCGGCCGGCGCGGGCGGTGCGGGCGCCTGCACGTCGTCGGTGGGCAGGTCGGCGGGCTGGGTGGCGGACTTGCGGCGCACGGCCGGCGCGGCACCCTTGCGCTCCTCCGGCCGCATGATGGGCTGCGCGCGGGCGCTGCGGTCCACGCCGAGGGTGAAGTACTGGGTGGGGGTGTTCGCGAGGCGCTTCTTGATGCCTCGCCGCCCCTGCATCAAGGTGTTCTGGGTGTTCTTTGAGTAGCCAGCGAAGGGTTTACTGGTCTTTCGCAGGCTACTGTCCCACTGCGCCGACGCGTTGCTTCTCGAGGACGTTGGCGTTGACTGCGGCGCGGCTGGAGGCTTGTTGGGGGCTCTGCTGGAGGAGCCAGCAGTGCCAGCACCCGGTTCACTTTCTCGCCGAGGCTCGCGAGGGCTGACGGTGCTTGGCCCTGGACCTCGTTCAGGCTGGTCGTCTCGACGGTCCCGGCTAAGTGGCGCACCTTGCCCATCGCGGGGGTCAAGTTTTTCTCGGGAGTCGCTGAGTTCACCTTCTTCCCGGGACTCTTTCTGGCTCCGCTCCTCTCGAAGGTCTCGATCCTCTCGGGGGCTTTCATCGTCTCTAAGACGTTGTTCTTCTCTGTTGGGCCATTCTCTGCTGCCTATGGGCGGCCGTCCCCTGCGGCTTCTGAAGCGTTCTTTTCTGTCTCTTTCTCTGTCTTCATCTCTTGCTCGATCACTGTCTTCACCGCGGTCACGATCTCTGTCTTGACCGCGGTCACGATCTCTGTCTTGACCGCGGTCACGATCTCTGTCTTGACCGCGGTCACGATCTCTGTCTTGACCGCGGTCACGATCTCTATCTTGACCGCGGTCACGATCTCTGTATAAACTTCTGTCTCGACTTCTGTCGCGGTTATAATCTCGACTTCTGTCCCGATCATAATTTCGACCTCTGTCTCGATCATGGTCTCGACTTCGGTCTCGATCATACTCTCGACCTCTGTCTCGATCATTACTGTTTAGACTCCTCTCACGATCACGCTCTCTCGTCATATGAGCCATGTTCTTAGAGTACGCAGGTGCTCTTCGAATAGTAGGCAGCGGTGGGCTCGCTGCAGCGCCAGCTTCGAAGGACACCCCGACTGGCTTTGGGGCTGTTTCAGAGGCCACTTCGCATGCAGACTTCGGGGTGGCATCAGTAGGCGCCACGACTGGTGGCACTGCGGTGGCATCCGTAGGCGCCAGGACTGGTGGCGTTGGGGTGGCATCCGTAGGCGCCAGGACTGGTGGCGTTGGGGCGGCTTCAGTAGGCGTCACGGCTGCTGACGATGAGGCAACTCCAGTAGGCGTTGGGGTGGGTGGGGCCACGACTGTTGGAGTTGAGGAGACTTCAGTAGGCGCAGAGACTGCTGGCGTTGAGGCGACTTCACTAAGCACTGGGGCGGCTTCAGTAGGAGCCGCGACTGTTCGGGTGGCTTCTGCAGGCACCTCGGCCCGGGCGGCTTCAGTAGGCGTAGTGACCGTAGGGGCGGCTGCTGGAGGCACCCGGGGGTCAGAGGTCTCGTCACTTTTCTCCTCTTCGACTTGGGGCATGGGTGGGGTCGCTGCCGAACCGTAGCTGTCACAACTGGATGAGTCAGTAAACGGCGTGTAGCCATCCTGACTCTTCCTGAGCTTGATCGTCAGTCTCTCTGTGACTGACTGCACCAATCTCTCCTGCTTTTCAGCCCGTCGCTTCTTTTTGTGTTTCTTGCGATGTTTTGTTTCCGAGCTGGAAGATCTTTTACGAGCCCGCTCATCTGTTGGCTGATTAGACGATCCTGGCTGAAATGGCGTCCGAGTCGACGCTTCGCCGTCACAACCCGAGTCCTTTGCAGATGACACGGTGGCGTTTGAGATCCTTTCAGTCGTGGTGGACGCCTCCGTCCTGGGTGCGCCCGAGGTGCTGTCGGCTTCGGTGGAAAGGGCCTTCTCGGCTCTAGTTCGTTCTGTCTGCAGGCAGTAATTGGTAATACATTTGATCTTATAGTCCCGTTTAATGTTTTGACCATTAAGAAAGCGTCTGAGTAGATGCTGATCCGCACAGGGGAATAGGCTCGTCAGGGCTTCCACGTTCTCTGCGATGTCATCTGAACACTCCAGCACAGCGATCACCATTGCCCTTGTGCCTTCCTCAGTAGCTGGGCCGTCTTCCTCAGCGGTAGGTTCATCAGTCTTTCTCGCGGGGCACATTTCAGGCGCGTGGGCGTTGGGTTGATGGCTAGGCTGTTCTGGTTGCGGAGCAGGCCGCTCTGGTTGAGGGGCAGGCCGCTCTGGTTGAGGGGCAGGCTGTTCTGGTTGAGGAGCAGGCTGCTCTTGTTGAGGGGCAGGCTCTTCTGGTGGACGAACAGGCTGCACCGGTAGCAGGGTAGTCTGCTCAGGTTGAGGGGCAGGAACTTCTAGTGTAGCGGCAGCAGCCTTGTCTTTCTGGGGTTGACAGAAAGGGTCAACATTTTCTATCACAAGGGAAGGACCACCTTGAGCAAGGTCGAAATCTTCGAAGCAAGGTTGACGGCCAGGACTAGGCTGCTCCTCGGCCCCAGGGGATGAGATCAATGGTCGTACTGGACTTAGGGGCTGTGCAGGTGGCCTGCGCGCTGCGCCCAGCGAGGGGGCTGCCGCCGCCTCGTCAGACGACTCGAGCAGCACAGGGGCGGTCTCCTCCGCATCGGACGACGACTCGATCAGCACGGCCGACGGGGTAGAGTGAGCAGAGTCCGACGAGATGACTATTGGACTGCCAGGAGGTGTGGCACAAGTGACTAGATTCAAGCAGCTTTTCCTTTTCTTCTTCTCTTCCTTCCTGGCAGCCTTGTCCTCGGCGCTCTTCGAGGACTTGTCTCCGCTGTTCCTCCGCGACTTATCACGGCTGCTCTTCGAGGACTTTTCCTCGGTGCTTTTCGAAGGCTTGTACTCAGTAATTTTTGAAGGCTTATACTCGGTGCTCTTCGAGGACTTGCACTCGGTGCTCTTCGAGGGCCTGTCCTCGGCGCTCTTCGTGGGCCTGTCCTCAGTGCTCTTCGAGGGCCTGTCCTCGGCGCTCTTCGAGGGCCTGTCCTCGGTGCTCTTCGAGGGCCTGTCCTCGGTGCTCTTCGAGGGCCTGTCCTCGGTGCTCTTCGAGGGCCTGTCCTCGGTGCTCTTCGAGGGCCTGTCCTCG